TAGAAAATTACAACACTCTGAAAAAAGGAGATTGAAGAGGATATCATAACATAGAAACATATCCCTTACTCATGGGTAGAAAGGACCAACATAGTAAAAATGACCCTACTCCAAAATTGTTGTATGGACTTAATGTAACCACAATCAAAATACCATTAGCGCACCTACCAGAACTGTAGAAATCATTCTTAAATTTCATTTGAAACTAGAAGAGACTTAGAATAGCCAAAAAAAAAAAAAAAAAAAATCCTAGGTAGCAATGCTAAAGCAGGGAGCATCATGATCTCTGACTTGAAATTATACTACAACAATTTATATCATGTACAGGTAAAAATTCTCTATGATGAAGGTGATCCTTATGTATTCCTAAAATATGCCAATAAGGGGCCTGAAGAGATAGCTCAGTAGAATAAGTGCTTGCCTAGCAAGCACAGGGTCCTGAGTTCCACCCCCAGTACCACAAAAAGAAAAAAAGAAAATTACCAATAAAATCTGATTGGAGAAAAATATTACATTACAAAGCTAAGTGATTTTAAAAAAAACAACAACAACAGCATGGTACTGGCAAAATAACAGACCTGAAGATCAACGGAACAGATTAGAAGATCCAGAAACAATGTCAAACATGCTCAGCCATGTTTGACATTGAGAAAGGGGCTAAACACATTCACTGGAAGAAAAATGGCCTCTTTAATAAATGGAGCTGGGGTGAGGGGCTGGGGAGATGGCTCAATGGTCTAAGCACCTGCTTAGCAAGCACAAACACCCAGATTTGATCCCTAGTACCACATGCCTGCCGACCCTGGAACCCTGAACTGCATAGCAAAGCCCTGTACCAAATAAATAGATCAATCAATCAATCAATCAATCGGGGAAAACTGGCCAAAGACTAAAACTAGACCCATATTTCTCACCATGCACTGAATTAAAATTGAAATGAATCAAAGATCTAAATATTAAAACAGAAATGTTAAATCTGCTGGAAGAGAAAATAGGTAGAACACTCTAAGACAAAACCCTGACATATAGGAAATACTACAAAGAATCAACAGTTGGGATCTCACCCTACTACAAAGCTTCTTTGGCCCTGCCCCCAGGGCTCCTGAGAGATGACTGAGACTGGGTGTGGTGGCACACACTTGTAATCCCAGCACTTGGGAGGCTGAAAACAGGAGGATCACTACTAGTCAGGTCTGTGTAGTGAGACCCTGTAGACCCTGTACCAAATACTTAAAAATAAAAAAAAAAAGCTTATTCATAGCAAAAGAATTTACCACTAGAGTGAAAAGACAAACCACTGTGTGGGATAAAATGTTAGCTAGTTCTCCCTAAGACAACTAATATCTACAACATATAAAGAATTGAGTTTTCACTTCAGCAGCACATAGACTAAAATTGAAATGATACAAAGAAGATTAGCAAGACTGCTGCTCAAGGATGACATGCAAATTCATAAAGTGTTTCATATTTTTAAAAAAAGAATTGAAAAAGATCAGACCCCACCTGTTTAAATTTTCTATCTAAAAATGAGCATCTGAGTTGAATATCCACTTCTCAGGAAAAATATAAATGGCAGATAAATATATAAAAAAGTTCAACATCACTGATCAATCAAAAGATGCAAATTAAAACAATGCTGATTCCATCTCAATGCAGAAAGAATGGCTATTAAGATATCAACCAAGCCCGGGCCAGCTCGGAGCGAGCCGCGCCATGGTGCGTACTCTGAACTGCATTGTCGCCGTGTCCCAGAACATGGGTATCGGCAGGAACGGGGACTTGCCCTGGCCCCTGCTCAGGAATGAATTCAACTACTTCCAGAGAATGACCACAACCACCTCAGTGGAAGGTAAACAGAATCTGGTGGTAATGAGTAGAAAGACCTGGTTCTCCATTCCTGAGAAGAATCGCCCTTTGAAAGACAGAATTAATATAGTACTCAGTAGAGAACTCAAGGAACCTCCCCAAGGAGCTGACTTTCTTGCCCCAAGTCTGGATGATGCCCTGAAGCTTATCGAGCAGCCAGAATTAGCCAGCAAGGTGGACCTGGTGGGGGTTGTGGGTGGCAGCGCTGTTTACAAGGAAGCCATGGATCGGCCGGGCCATGTCAAACTGTTCGTGACAAGGATCATGCAGGAATTTGAAAGTGACACATTTTTTCCAGAAATTGATTTGAAGAAATACAGGCTCCTCCCAAAATACCCAGGTGTGCTTTCTGAGGTCCAGGAGGAGAAAGGCATTAAGTACAAATTTGAAGTATATGAAAAGAATGATTAATGTGAAGGTGTACTCTGATCTATTCCAAGTTGTTTCTCTTCCTCCTAAACAAATTATGTGTTTATAAGTTAAGAAAAAAATATTTGTTCTGGTTTTTGAAAAAAAAAAAAAAAAAGATATCAACCAATAACAAAACCTGGCAAGGATGTGGAAGAAAGGAACCTTCTCCACTGTTGGTGGGAGGACTGGTTGGTGGAAATAGTGTAAAAATTGGGTCAGCAAGATAGCTCAACAGTCTAAAGCTCTTGCTTGGGCAAGCTTAGGCAAGCGCTCAGGAACCACAGTTCAATCCCCGGCACCACATGCCACGCCAGCTCTGCTGCCAGGGTGGGCTGAGCCAGCCACAAAAAATAAATAAATAAATAACTGTGAAAATCAGTGTGGAGATTCTTCAAAATACTAGGATTAGAGGTCCTAGTATTCAAATCAGCTATTGTTCTTCTGGGTATCTTCCCTGAAAAATTAAAAACATCACACCACAGTGATATATAAACACCCATGTTTGTAGCAACACAGTTTGTAATAGCTGAATCTTCTTTGGAGATAAACCAACTTAGGAATGGATAAAAAAAAAATGTTTTTTTATGTGCAACGGAGTACTACTCAGCCATAAGTAAGGATAAACTTGAAATTTTTCTAGGTAAATGGATGCATCCTGAAGCCATACTCTTTTTTTTTTTTTTTTTTTTTTTTTTTTTTTGCGGAACTGGGGATTGAACTCAGGCCCTTGCGCTTACCAGGGAAGCACTTATTCCACTGAGCCATCTCCCTGGCCCTGAGGCCATACTCTTAAGTGAAATAAATCAGACACGTGTGTAAATAATGCATTATTTCTCCGATATCAGAAGCTAAAAGTGTAAATAGGAACCAAAGTGTACACTAGGTATTGTGGAATAAAAAGAAATACTTCAAAAGACAGGGAAAGTAGGGAGAGAGGAGGGGGAAAGGAAATAAGAGAAAAGAAAAAAATAGAATGATAAAATCAAAACAAAGCTTTGTAAGTAAGAAAGAAGAAAAGTTGAAGGGAAGGGAGAGGATTGGGGGGGGGAAATAAACCAAGATATTTCACATACAGGTGCAAATTCCCTAGAAATCAAAGATCACTATGTATATCTAAATTATACCAATAAACTGAATGAAAATAAATAAATAAATAGAAAATGTGGTATCTATACACAGTGGAGTACTGTGTATTTGGGTCATTTACAAGAAAATGGATGCATCAGCTGGGTGTGGTGGCTCACTCCTATAATCCTAGCACTTGTAAGAATTTGAATTTGAATCTCACTTGAAATTTTTTGCTTTCCCTTCTCTGTCCACTTAATCATGATGTGATCCTGGATAAGTTGCTCCAATTTCTGAGCATCTTCCTCAGGCTCAGAATGGACCTGGCCTTCCTGTGCCAAAACATCAAAGCGGAGTATGAAGCTGCTAATCAACATGGGACTCAAGGCTGACAGGACTGGGTCTGCTTTCTGCAGACTGTCACTTGAGGCCTGGATTTGTGTTGTCGGTGGCTGTGACCACACTCGCTCCCCTATCAGATTGCCCAGGACTGGTTAGGAGGATTCCTGAGAGCCCCCATGCCAGGTTCATGCTGGGCTTGAACATAGTTCTCCCACACTGGTGTCTTGGTGTGCAAGTGACCACCTATGATTTCAGGGGACACCCTGCCCTCTAATGATCTGCCCATGGGTTGTCTATTGTCTCATCAGACACCTGAGATTAAGACCAGAAATTTTCCAATTTCTTCCCAAACTGATCATCTTTTGTCTAATCACTGAACATTTGTTTCCAGGTTTCTACTCTATAACTTTCTTAGGATAGATAATAGTCATCTCTTTTCAAAAAAAATTGTCTCTTTTCTAAATTTATATTTTATTGGTACATTTTAGATGTACATGACAACAATATTCATTATAGGGAATTTGTATCTATACATGATATATATTATTCTTTGTTCTCATTCCCCTTCCCTTAAGCCCTCTTGCCCTCCATATTTACAAAAGTTTGTTTCCATGTTTCTCCTTTTCTCAACTTATTCTTTTCCCTTCCTTTCCCTCTCTTCCCTCCCTAGATCCCCTTTCCATTTTCCATCTCCCAGTATCAATTGTGAATGTTGGTGCCTGTTTATACTTTCAATTTCTCACACCAGAGAAAATGTGATACATGTGTTGTTGTTGTTGTTGTTGCAGTACTGGGGATTGAACTTAGGACCTTGTGCTTGCCAGCACTTATTCTACTAAGCTATCTCCCTGGCCCAAAACTGTGATATTTCAACATGTGTCCCATTTATTTCACTTAAGAAGCTTATCCTTCTTATTGGCAGAGTAGTACTCCATTACACTAAAAAAAAAACCTTTGTCTTCTTTATCCATTCATTGGTTGATGGGCATTTGGGCTGTTTCCAAGATATGCATATTACAAACTCTGCCAGTACAAACATGGGTGTGCGGGGCCAGGGAGATAGCTCAGTAGAATAAGTGCTTGTCTGGCAAGTGCAAGGGCCTGAGTTCAATCCCTGGTTCCGCAAAAAAAAAAAAAAAAAAGCAACAACAACAAACATGGGTGTGCATATATCACTCTGGAATGATGCTTTCAATTCTTCTGGGAAGACCAAGAAAGGGAATAGGTGGGTATCTCTAGTTTTAGTTTTTTGGTATCTCTAGTTTTAGGGGTGTTTTGGAGGGGTAGGAGACATGCAGAACTACTTTTTATTTTCTATTTTTCTTTAATTTTATTGAAAAACAAATAGCAATGAGACAGTTTAAAAACTGATTAGTAGGACAGTTACAATAATTAATACATTGCATATTGTTGTTTTCATAGTGGTTATTCATCGTACAAGATACAGACATGATATCCTGTACAAACACTATTAGTATAAATCTTTCTTCTCATTGAACTAAGAGAAGGTAGCTGTATATCTATCCTATTTTGTATATACAGATACAAAATGGTCCTTCATTTCTATCGCCTTTTTTGTTTAGTTTTGTTAGAGATGGGTATTCCCTTGCCATTTAAATATTGTAGGTGCGTGAATTTATCAAAATAATCCAATATAGTCCAGTAGTCCATAATAGTAGTGGGTTATCTGTAGGACTGGCAATATCAAAAGTGGTTGACTTGAGCCTTTTACAGCTCAGCCTATTAATATGGCTTTACATTTTATATCTTGTTTTTATACTTTTCCACTGGACAGTTAAGACCAAGATAAAGCAAGACCTATATAACAAGAAATGGAACTTTTGTATCTTCCAAAGTCAGTCAAATCCCCTCAGGATTTACCCTGAAACCCTGTACCACAGTTTGTAGATCCTTTGTAAGTATCAGCCATGTGGATGAGTCACAGCCATTGCTTGACCAATTTGTTCTCTGTGAAAACTTGAGAGAATGTTTTCTCCCTAGGTAACTCTCCCTAGGCACGTTATACATCGTCAATCACTTTCCTCTGTGTCCCATAATCTCCTTGATCAGAAAATTTGGTACACCACTGAGTTGCAAGATGTTACAGTACAGGTTCACTTATGTCCTGAGTCCTCACTGACCTTGAATGGCTAGGGACAAAATGTTGGCTATCCTTGTAGCTCTTCTTTTTCCCCAAATTTTTGGTCTGCAAACTTAAGTTGTTAGCCCTCCAGAAGAGCTTAATGATATTTAGTTTTAGTTTCTGGATGCATGTCCACACCAATTTCTACTGTGGTTGCACCAGTCAATACTCCCCACTAACAGTGGAAAGTGATTCCTTTCTCCCCACATCGCTGTCAGCATTTGTTATTTGTTGATATTTTAATAGTAAACATTTGTTCTGAAGTAACACAGCATTTCAACATTGTTTTATTTTGCATCTCTTGAATGATCAATGATGTTGATCATTTTTTCATATATTTATTTGCTATTTGTACTTCTTCATCTAAGAAGTATTAGTTCACTTAGATGCCCATTTTTGGATTGAGTCTTTAAATTTGGAGGGGTCTGATTTTTTTACTTCTTTATATATTCTAGATAATAAGCCTTCCCCTGAGGAATATCTTATTAAAAATTTTCTCATTCTGTGGGTTGTCTCTTCATTCTGTTGGTGCCTTTTGCTGTACAAAAGATTTTTAATAAGATTAGATCCCAGACATTGATTCTCAAGGTTTTGTTCATAAGATCTTTGCTTGTATCACTGTTCTATTTTAATATTTAAATACTT